TGACGTGTGTAGAGTCAGTGACGCGTGTAGAGTCAGTGACGTGTGTAGAGTCAGAGACGTGTGTAGAGTCAGCGTCGTGTGTAGAGTCAGTGACGTGTGTAGAGTCAGTGACGCGTGTGGAGTCAGAGACGTGTGTAGAGTCAGTGACACGTGTAGAGTCAGCGTCGTGTGTAGAGTCAGTGACGTGTGTAGAGTCAGTGACGTGTGTACAGTCAGTGACGTGTGTAGAGTCCACACCGTGTGTAGAGTCAGTGACGTGTGTAGAGTCAGCGACGTGTGTGGAGTCAATGACGTGTGTCGAGTCAGTGACGCGTGTAGAGTCAGTGACGTGTGTAGAGTCAGTGACGTGTGTAGTCAGTGACGTGTGTAGAGTCAGTGACGCGTGTACAGTCAGTGACGTGTGTGGAGTCAGTGACGCGTGTAGAGTCAGTGACGTGTGTGGAGTCAGTGACGCGTGTAGAGTCAGTGACGTGTGTAGAGTCAGCGTCGTGTGTGGAGTCAGTGACGTGTGTAGAGTCAGTGACGTGTAGAGTCAGTGACGTGTGTAGAGTCAGCGTCGTGTGTAGAGTCAGTGACGTGTAGAGTCAGTGACGTGTAGAGTCAGTGACGTGTGTAGAGTCAGCGTCGTGTGTAGAGTCAGTGACGTGTGTAGAGTCAGTGACGTGTAGAGTCAGTGACGTGTGTAGAGTCAGCGTCGTGTGTAGAGTCAGTGACGTGTGTAGAGTCAGTGACGTGTTTAGAGTCAATGACGCGTGTAGAGTCAGTGACGTGTGTAGAGTCAGTGACGTGTGTGGAGTCAGTGACGTGTGTACAGTCAGTGACGTGTGGAGTCAGTGACGTGTGTACAGTCAGTGACGTGTGTGGAGTCAGTGACGCGTGTAGAGTCAGTGACGTGTGTAGAGTCAGCGTCGTGTGTAGAGTCAGTGACGTGTGTAGAGTCAGTGACGTGTGTAGAGTCAGCGTCGTGTGTAGAGTCAGTGACGTGTGTAGACTCCACACCGTGTGTAGAGTCAGTGACGTGTGTAGAGTCAGAGACGTGTAGTCATTGACGTGTAGAGTCAGCGATGTGTGTAGAGTCAGTGACGTACGGAGTCAGAGACGTGTGTGGAGTCAGAGACGTGTGTGGAGTCAGTGACGTGTGTGGAGTCAGTGACGTGTGTGGAGTCAGTGACGTGTGTAGAGTCAGTGACGTGTGTAGAGTCCACACCGTGTGTAGAGTCAGTGAAGTGAGTAGAGTCAGTGACGTGTGTAGAGTCAGCATCGTGTAGAGTCAGTGACACGTGTAGAGTCAGAGACGTGTAGAGTCAGCGACGTGTGTAGAGTCAGCGACGTGTGTAGAGTCAGTGACGTGCGTACAGTCAGTGACGTGTGTGGAGTCAGAGACGTGTGTAGAGTCAGTGACGTGTGTGGACTCAGTGACGTGTGTAGAGTCCACACCGTGTGTAGTCAGTGACGTGTGTAGAGTCAGTGACGTGTGTGGAGTCAGAGACGTGTGTAGAGTCAGTGACGTGTGTACAGTCAATGACGTGTGTACAGTCAATGACGTGTGTAGAGTCAGCGAATCCCAACCTGTTGCCGTGTTCGCCAGAAAGTTACCGATCGGCCCCGGCCGACGTCAGTAGCTTTCGAAGAACCAACATTTTAGTTTTTATTTATTAATTAATTCGCTCAATAACTATCCATGATCGAACAAACGCGGACTTTTTTAAGTTTGCTGGCTCGGTATATTAGAGTATTTGCTTTCCGAATAAGCCCTTTCATATTCGGGTGGAGCATTTGGTTATCACGTTGGCCATGACCGGGGAATCGAATTCGGCTTGTCGGGCACGTGGCCCAGTGCGCTAACCGCTGCACCACCGCTCGCGTACAGGATTTTCCTCCCGACTCCAGTTGTCGCGACCCGCCATCACCACCACGCTACGTGTTTCCGCCTTCGCCAATCGACTCCTGCCCAATTCGAATGAACTCGTTCCACGCTGCTTCACACGATTGTTACAAACGTCCTACGTGACGGGCTCGTAAAATGAACGACGCCTGCGTTAATGGCGCCGATTCAAATCAACATTGTTAATAATTCGGTCACAGTCCCTATGATCACTGTTACATTGCATTTATGGCTTTTATTTTGGTGATTTCGAAAACTTTTTTTTTCGTTTTTGGCCATGTTTTTGTTTATTGTAGTACGGAGTTAGACTGATGGCCTTAATCTTAGTTGTCTTGTGGTTGTTGTTGTTGTTTGACTTGCATCCCACTGGGATTTTTGCACACAGCGTTGGTGTACGGTGCTATTTCAGGAATATTTTGATGTTTTTTCCCCTGGATTTTCTGTTTGCACAGTCACACGTAGTCACTTTAAGATTTTTTTCTTGTTTTTTGTTTGTTGAGGTTGCACCCGATTCAAGAGCCGAATGGCTCACAGGGCTATACCAACATAAATAAACTCTGAACTATGAACGTGACTCGGCGTCAATCGCTCGGCGCGTCACGTGGAACGTGTTTAACAACCATCGGGCGCGTGCAGCGTGAAATGTGGGTGGGTGGGTGAGGGGGGCGTGGAGTCGACCGGTGGCAAAGACGGAGCGTGGTGGCGATGCGGGGTGCGGGGGTTTGCGAGGAGTGCCGTGTGTGGCAAACCCTCATCTCAACATAAGGGCACCCCCCCCCCCCCCCCCCAAGTGGCAGCTGTCCCTGTGCGGCACAAGGTGGGCATCAGTGGGCCGGCAGGGGGTGGAGAGGGGGCGGTTAATGCTGCCGTGTTGCGCGACGCCAATGGAGTCGTCTGCGCTGCAATTTCCCGGTTTGGGAAGAGGAAGAAAATAAAAATTGTTTCCGCGACGCCGGCACACGATGGCCTAGGCCGAAGCGGACCGCGCCTGCTATCGTCGCGGCGGCTATTACACCACGCGCTATTAACCAGGGCGGCCGCTGGGTGCGAAACCGCGAAGCTCTGCGCCGCCGCCGCCGCCGCCCCACGTGCAACACATAGCACCGACACGTCGCCCGGCCAGCTTGTGTCTCTCCCAACGATGACGTTTACACGCCAAGCGCCGGCAGCGAGCGCCTACGGGGGCCGGCACGGCCGCCTTTGTCTTCCCAGCGGCGATGTTTACACTCCGCACCAGGTACTCAATCGACCGAGGGGAAGGCCCAGGACCGGTACAGATAATGGTCACCGGTGTTGGTGGCCGTGTGTCGGGAATCGAACCCGGGTGCCTTGTTTGCTGCGAGGGGGGCGCCAGGGTTACCACCGTGCCCGCCACTGCCCTGCAAACCCCGCACGAGCCGCCTCCAGTTGGCAGACCCACGCTGCGCCGCTGCATTGTGTCGTCACGTGCGTCAGGGTCGTCACGTGCGTCAGGGTCGTCACGCGCTCAGGGTCGTCACGTGCTCAGTGTCGTCACGTGCTCAGAGTCGTCACGTGCTCAGTGTCGTCACGTGCTCAGTGTCGTCACGCGCTCAGGGTCGTCACGTGCTCAGTGTCGTCACGTGCTCAGAGTCGTCACGTGCTCAGTGTCGTCACGTGCTCAGTGTCGTCACGTGCTCAGTGTCGTCACGCGCGTCAGGGCTGCGCCGTCACAACGCGTCGTGTCGTCACGCTCGCGCCGCCGCCGACTTCGACGGCGCCGCTCCGTCGCCGCTTTGCGTCGCCGCCTTTTCGTGCGCGCTGCTGCGCCCTTCGGCGAGCTGTTTCGCCGTCAGACCGCGCGTCGCCTTCGCTGTTGCGTCGCCGCGGTCACACCGCGATGCTCACTCGCTGCTGCGAGTGAGCATCGCGGTCACACCGCGATGCTCACTCGCTGCTGCGTGGCACCGCAGCGCCCTGCGGCCTCGTGCCGTCACCGTGCTGCGTTCACGGCCCCGTTCTCACCACACCCCGCGTTGCGTCGCCAGCACCGTGCCGTTGTGCCGTGCCGTCACCACCCCGCGCCCAGTTGTCACATCGCCCAGTCGCTGCTCCAGATACGCGCCTCCCACACCCCCCCCCCATCTCACTCGCTACCCCCCACCCCCCCCCATCTCACTCGCTACCCCCCCACCCCCCCCATCTCACTCGCTACCCCCCACCCCCCCCCATCTCGCTCGCTACCCCCCACCCCCCCCATCTCGCTCGCTACCCCCCCCCCCCCATTTCGCTCGCTACCACCCCCCCCCCCCATCTCACTCACACGCTCACTCAGCTCCACGCTCCCGCCTGCACGCGTCTCTCTCTCACTCCTCCGCTTCTTTATTTCTCGCTTCCATTGTTTACATCCCGCGTGCGTCGCGCGTCGTGAATCCTCTTAACATGGCGTGGGATCGCGCTCACCAAGAACGGCGCCAACCACCCCCCCCCATCTCCCCTGACCACGGTGTGAGAGAAGCGTCCCAGTGGAGCGATCTGCCCGCTCACCCAGTCACCCGCTCGCCCGCCCGCCCCCCCGCTCGCCCTGCCGCTCGCTCGCCCGCCCTGCCGCCCGCGCGTCCAATTGCTCGTTGATCTGTCCGAGAGGACGTCGGCGGCAGTTCATCTCCGGTGCGGTGATCTCCACGGACCCCGGCTCCGCGCTGTCGCGGGCAGAGATCCCCCACCGATTGGTTCGGCCGGGGGACGAGCAACAGGACGCACCGAGCGGTCAATCGTTACCTCTCCCATCCTCGGGTGATCCACTAACTCTGAGATGTCAGCTAATGAGAGAGGGTGGGGGGGCGGTGGGGGGGGGGGGAACGGAGAGATTGGAGCGGCCGTGGTTGTGGGAGGGAGTGGGGGGGGGGTTGGAGGAGTGAGCGGTGGGCGGGTGGAAGCATGGAGGAAGACAGAAAAGGGGCATTGAGAGCATGGAGTGAGATAGGAAGTCGGTGGCGGTGATGGACGGGAGAGATGTGTGTGAGAGAGAGGTGTGCGTTTGTGTGCGTGCGTGTGGCTGTGGGGAGCGGTGGAGCAGCGGTTAGCGTGTCGCGCTGCGAACCCCGAAGACACGAGTTCGATTCCCAGTCACGGACAACCCCGGTGACTATTATCTGAACCGGTCCTGGGCCTCCCCCTAGGGTCGAATCGATCTGAATTGAGTGCCTGGTGCGGTGTTGTAAACGACATCAGCAGCGGCGCTGGCCACCCGCCCCCTCTCGTGTGCCCCAGGATTCTGTTACGGCTACACGAGGAATCTCTTTCCTTCGTGCGTGGCTGTGAATCGTGAGCGGGAGCAGAAGCGCGACCGGCTGTGCGAGCGCACGCACAGTCGCGCACGGGGGAAGCGTGCTGCCTCCTCGCTGCCGAACGGGCAGCCCGGGCATCGTGCGGGCGTTCATCAGGCGCCGTGCGGGCGCTCAGGCGCTGTGCATGCGTGCTCCCAGGAGGCTGTTCTCGTGCTGCATGGCGCGCAGGTCGCCCACGATGCGCTCCAGGTTGGACAGCGTCTTCTTGCTCCGCTCCAGCTCCGTCTTTAAGGCGGGGGGGGGGATGCGAGAACCACACGCGCGAAAACGCACACAAGCGTACACATGTCAATGCCTGCGCGATAAAAAGACAAACACGGACGTCCCCCCCCCCCACCGTACAGCCTCTAACGGACTGATGGGGCCAAGTGCTGTGAGCGAGTGGCACCTGGGTGAGATGTCACCGTATCCCTCGGGGGGCTGCGGCTGGTGCTGAGACACTGAGCCTCAGCTGCCTCGTTGCGGCACTGAGCCAATCACAGCCTCCGAGCAGCTGCAGCTGCAGCAGCTGCAGCAGCGGCGCCCCCTCCTGCATGCCTGGGTGGGGTGCGTGCGTGTTTGCGCGCAAGCGGCGTGCGTGTGCCTAGCAGGGAGAGGGCGAGTGAGCAGTGTGTGTGTGTGAGTGAGTAAGTAGTGTGTGTGTGTGAGTTGTGTGTGTGTGAGCGAGTGAGCTGTGTGTGTGAGCGAGTGAGCTGTGTGTGTGTGAGCGAGTGAGCTGTGTGTGTGTGAGCAAGTGAGCAGTGTGTGAGTGTGAGCGAGTTAGCTGTGTGTGTGAGCGAGTGAGCTCTGTGTGTGTGTGTGAGCAAGTGAGCGGTGTGTGTGTGTGTGAGCGAGTGAGCTGTGTGTGTGTGTGAGTGAGCCGTGTGTGTGTGAGTGCGAGTAAGCGGTGTGTGTGTGAGTGAGCTGAGTGTGTGTGAGCGAGTGAGTTGTGTGTGTGTGAGCGAGTGAGCTGTGTGTGTGTGACCGGCTCCAGTTTAACAGCAGAGGTCTCACTCCGAATCAGTCGAGCGGCAATATCTTTTCATCGGTTGCGTAACGCTGTGTGGAAGCTACCTGGTCTGTTGCTCCGCACTAAGCTTCAGGTCTTCTCGGCCACGGTCATTCCCTCTCTTCTCTACGCTTGCGAAACGTAGACCCCCTTAATGGAGCATCTTCGCCGGTTGGAAACATTTAGGCTGGCCTGCTTACGATCCATCCTGGGTTTAACCAGGCTGGATTGTGTGAGGAGCTCACAAATCCTTGAAAGATCTGGGCAAGGTCCCATCGGTGAGCTCCTCCGGCGGGCAAGGCTGCGATGGCTGGGTCATGTAGCCCGCATGTCCAGCCACCGCATGCCAAAACAGCTTTTGTTCGGCCGGATCGAGGGGGCTAAACGGGCGCGGCACGGGCTAGAGAAGAGGTGGAGTGATGTGGTACAGGAGGACGTGGAGCTGAGTGGACTTGACGATGACTGGTACCAGCGGTGTCAAGATCGGCCTCTGTGGAGGAGGCTCGTGAAGGACGCTGCTATTGGGCAGTTGGAGGCAGTCGCCCTCCAACAACAACGGAGGGCGGAGGAGCGACGCTCACAACAATGAGCGGAGCGCCGGGTGGCTAAAGCACAGCAGGTTGGCACAGTAGGGGGCATAGGTGGTGCATCAGCCAGTCATCTCAGTCAGTCGACCCGTGGCACCTGGGTCTGCCCCGTGAACTCCTGCCCGCGAGCGTTCGACACTTCACGTGGCCTCAAGGTGCACATGGCCTGGCACAAGCGTTGTGGTGACGTCACCGCCACTTATTGGCGAATGGCGGTTGTTGTTGTTGTTGTGTGTGTGAGCGATGTGAACGGACGCCTCCGTGCACGTGTGCAGCCATCACCTGCTCCTCCAGGTCACGAATCTCCCTCATCACCGCGCCCGTATCCTCAATCGTGTGGATCAGCTGAGCGCAATTCTTCTCACCCACAGCAGGAGCGAGGAGATGGGAGAGACACCACGCACACACGGACATGCACACACGGACACACACGAAGGGACACGCACACCGAAACACGTACATAAGGACACACGGACAAACACGCGGACACAAACACACATAGACACGGACACACACACAAACACGCACATACGGACACACACACGGAGACACGCATGGACACACGGCTCCGTCCATTATCTGCGCGGCGTGGGTGGTACACGGCGAGTGACCGTGCTGAGCTCGCCGTGGCGTGCCCCGGTTTAGTCTAAATTAACCGGGGGACAAACGCTCTTCAACCACGATGAATCAATCCAGTGGTGGCGTAACTATAGAGAGCGCAGGTGGTGCAACCGCACCTGGTTTCACGAGCAGGAGGGGTTCCAGGCGTCGTGGAAATTAAACCTAACTATTAAAAAATCATTTTTTCATTTTACCAGGCAAGGCCCACTGAGCTATATTGTGTAGCTCTTTTCTTCAGAAGCTACCTGGCCATCACAAATGACAGCGCAACGAAGCGGCTTGTCATCATCACGGCGGAAATGTTTTGCAGCCGATTCTAAACGCGGGGGGAAAAAACAGCACAGAGCCGGAGAAAAATCCCAGGCAACCACGGGCAGAACACGCAAACTCCAAATATACAACAGGTGGCAGGGTCTGGAGCGAACCCACGACCTCCTGCATACCAGGCGAGGTAGTTAACATCTCGTGGCCACCGTGGTGATGACAAGAGAGAGACACGCAAACTACAAATATACAACAGGTGACAGGGTCTGGATCGAACCCACGACCTCCTGCATACCAGGCGAGGTAGCTAACATCTCCTAGCCACTGTGATGATGATGACAAGAGAGAGACACGCAAACTCCAAATATACAGCAGCAGGCGTCAGGGTCTGGATCGAACCCACGACCTCCTGCATACCAGGCGAGGTAGTTAACATCTCGTGGCCATGGCACGTTTCAGCACCGCGTCAGCTCCGAGCGCGTCAAGCGAGGCGTCGCTGCGTCGAGCGGGGGCAGCCTCACCTCGTGAAGCGCCGCCAGGTGCTTGTAGGCCTTCCGTGCAGTCTCGTCCTTCTTGGCGTCCTGCACGGGAAGCAAGCCGCACGCACGCACGGCCGGGCGGCGGTGAGGGCGACGGCGGCAGCGTAGCGCTGGCGGCCGCAAGCGGTAACGCCGAGGCATTGAGTCTATGGGCCCCGTGTGAGTCTATGGGTTCTGTGTGAGTCTATGGGTTCTGTGTGAGTCTATGGGTTCTGTGTGAGTCTATGGGTTCTGTGTGAGTCTATGAGTTCTGTGTGAGTCTATGGGTTCTGTGTGAGTCTATGGGTTCTGTGTGAGTCTATGAGTTCTGTGTGAGTCTGAGTTCCGTGTGAGTCTATGGGTTCTGTGTGAGTCTATGGGTTCTGTGTGAGTCTATGGGTTCTGTGTGAGTCTATGGGTTCTGTGTGAGTCTATGGGTTCTGTGTGAGTCTATGGGCCCCGTGCGAGTCTATGGGTTCCGTGTGAGTCTATGGGTTCTGTGTGAGTCTATGGGTTCTGTGTGAGTCTATGGGTTCTGTGTGAGTCTATGGGTTCTGTGTGAGTCTATGGGCCCCGTGTGAGTCTATGAGTTCCGTGTGAGTCCATGAGTTCCGTGTGAGTCTATGAGTCCCATGTGAGTCTATGGATTCTGTGTGAGTCTATGGGCCCCGTGTGAGACTGAGTTCCGTGTGAGTCTATGGGTTCCGTGTGAGTCTATGAGTTCCGTGTGAGTCTATGAGTTCCGTGTGAGTCTATGGGTCTCGTGTGAGTCCATGAGTTCCGTGTGAGTCTATGTGTTCCGTGTGAGTCTATGGGTTCCGTGTGAGTCTATGGGTTCCGTGTGAGTCTATGGATTCCGTGTGAGTCTATGGGTCACGTGTGAGTCTATGGGTTCCGTGTGAGTCTATGGGTTCCATGTGAGTCTATGGATTCTGTGCGAGTCCATGAGTTCCGTGTGAGTCTATGAGTTCCGTGTGAGTCTATGGGTTCCGTGTGAGTCTATGGATTCCGTGCGAGTCTATGGGTCCCGTGTGAGTCTATGAGTTCCGTGTGAGTCTATGAGTTCCGTGTGAGTCTATGAGTTCCGTGTGAGTCTATGGGTTCCGTGTGAGTCTATGGGTTCCATGTGAGTCTATGGGTCCCGTGTGAGTCTATGGGTCCCGTGTGAGTCCATGAGTTCCGTGTGAGTCTATGGGTTCCGTGTGAGTCTATGGGTTCCGTGTGAGTCTATGGGTTCCGTGTGAGTCTATGGATTCCGTGTGAGTCTATGGGTTCCGTGTGAGTCTATGGGTTCCGTGTGAGTCTATGGATTCTGTGCGAGTCCATGAGTTCCGTGTGAGTCTATGAGTTCCGTGTGAGTCTATGGGTTCCGTGTGAGTCTATGGATTCTGTGCGAGTCTATGGGTCCCGTGTGAGTCTATGAGTTCCGTGTGAGTCTATGAGTTCCGTGTGAGTCTATGGGTTCCATGCGAGTCTATGGGTTCCGTGTGAGTCTATGAGTTCCGTGTGAGTCTATGAGTTCCGTGTGAGTCTATGGGTTCCGTGTGAGTCTATGGGTTCCGTGTGAGTCTATGGATTCCGTGTGAGTCTATGGGTCACGTGTGAGTCTATGGGTTCCGTGTGAGTCTATGGGTTCCATGTGAGTCTATGGATTCTGTGCGAGTCCATGAGTTCCGTGTGAGTCTATGAGTTCCGTGTGAGTCTATGGGTTCCGTGTGAGTCTATGGATTCCGTGCGAGTCTATGGGTCCCGTGTGAGTCTATGAGTTCCGTGTGAGTCTATGAGTTCCGTGTGAGTCTATGAGTTCCGTGTGAGTCTATGGGTTCCGTGTGAGTCTATGGGTTCCATGTGAGTCTATGGGTCCCGTGTGAGTCTATGGGTCCCGTGTGAGTCCATGAGTTCCGTGTGAGTCTATGGGTTCCGTGTGAGTCTATGGGTTCCGTGTGAGTCTATGGGTTCCGTGTGAGTCTATGGATTCCGTGTGAGTCTATGGGTTCCGTGTGAGTCTATGGGTTCCGTGTGAGTCTATGGATTCTGTGCGAGTCCATGAGTTCCGTGTGAGTCTATGAGTTCCGTGTGAGTCTATGGGTTCCGTGTGAGTCTATGGATTCCGTGCGAGTCTATGGGTCCCGTGTGAGTCTATGAGTTCCGTGTGAGTCTATGAGTTCCGTGTGAGTCTATGAGTTCCGTGTGAGTCTATGGGTTCCGTGTGAGTCTATGGGTACCGTGTGAGTCTATGGGTCCCGTGTGAGTCTATGGGTCCCGTGTGAGTCCATGAGTTCCGTGTGAGTCTATGGGTTCCGTGTGAGTCTATGGGTTCCGTGTGAGTCTATGGGTTCCGTGTGAGTCTATGGATTCCGTGTGAGTCTATGGGTTCCGTGTGAGTCTATGGGTTCCGTGTGAGTCTATGGATTCTGTGCGAGTCCATGAGTTCCGTGTGAGTCTATGAGTTCCGTGTGAGTCTATGGGTTCCGTGTGAGTCTATGGATTCTGTGCGAGTCTATGGGTCCCGTGTGAGTCTATGAGTTCCGTGTGAGTCTATGAGTTCCGTGTGAGTCTATGGGTTCCATGCGAGTCTATGGGTTCCGTGTGAGTCTATGAGTTCCGTGTGAGTCTATGAGTTCCGTGTGAGTCTATGGGTTCCGTGTGAGTCTATGGGTTCCGTGTGAGTCTATGGGTTCCGTGTGAGTCTATGGGTTCCGTGTAAGTCTTTGGGTTCCGTGTGAGTCTATGAGTTCCGTGTGAGTCTATGAGTTCCGTGTGAGTCTATGGGTTCCGTGTGAGTCTATGGGTTCCGTGTGAGTCTATGGGTTCCGTGTGAGTCTATGGGTTCCGTGTACGTCTATGGGTTCCGTGTGAGTCTATGAGTTCCGTGTGAGTCTATGAGTTCCGTGTGAGTCTATGAGTTCCGTGTGAGTCTATGGGTCCCGTGTGAGTCTATGGATTCCGTGTGAGTCTATGGGTTCCTTGAGAGTCTATGAGTTCCGTGTGAGTCTATGAGTTCCATGTGAGTCTATGAGTTCCGTGTGAGTCTATGGGTTCCGTGTGAGTCTATGAGTTCCGTGTGAGTCTATGGGCCCCGTGTGAGTCTATGAGTCCCATGTGAGTCTATGGGTTCCGTGTGAGTCTATGAGTTCCGTGTGAGTCTATGAGTTCCGTGTGAGTCTATGGATTCTGTGTGAGTCTATGGGCCCCATGTGAGTCGATGAATTCCGTGTGAGTCTATGAGTTCCATGTGAGTCTATGAGTTCCGTGTGAGTCTTAGTTCCATGTGAGCATACACGCCCAGCTGCCTTTACTTCCCTGATGTTTGCACACACCAGGTACAAATTAAACTCGGGCCGCCGGGTTCGCAGTACAGTGCGCCACCGTTTCCGACACACACGGATACACACACACACATGGACACACGCACACACACGGACACACACACGCCCCCACCCCCCATGACAAACCTTAAACAGCAGCTCATCGGTAACGCTAAATGTGCGCTCCAGTTTCCCAGCCAGCCCATTGATGTCCTTCTGCACCTCCCGGGTATCAGCAAGCACCTTCGCATGACAAAGACAAAGATCCCCCGTACCGCCTTTAACGTCCATCGCCCGTCAGCCCTTCGAGCCACGGTAAAACGGCGCTTCCCGAGTTTCAAGTCCAAGCTGATTTTGTTTCAACCAGAGTGAGAACTCAAAGAGACCAGGGTGACCTGGGCCATGAGTCACGCAGGAGGCGGCGATAATTGGCGTACGGTCGTGGCGGTGGGGCGGGCGAGCGGGGGGGGGGGGGGTTGGTGGATCGCAGAAACGTTGTGAAACTTTTCCACTTTCCGCGGGTGCCGAGGAGGTGCCGCAACCGTGGCTCGGCAGCAGTGAAGTGCAGCGAATGCGCGGGCTAACGTCGCCTGCCCCCCACCTGTATGGGGGCAGCATTGCCCCTCGTCTTCTCCGGGTGCTCCGGCTCCCTCCCACACACGTGACAAGCACACTCGTTAATAAGCTGAGAACGTCTTAGTATACGTGGGACTGCGGAACTGTCGGTGCCCGGTTCACCACGTGGCTGCGGCTGCTGCTGCTGCGGCTGCCTTCCCTCCTCGTCCTCTCTCGTCCAGAACGGGCGAATACCGTGCGGCGGCGGAGTTAGGCGTTGAAACGACCGCGACCGTTGCCGCAATCGAGTAACCCCCTCGGCGCTGCTCTCAAATCTGGCAAATTATTTGGGTCGCGAACGCCAGCCGCGCAAGTGGCCTATTCTCGCGGACGATGGCGCCGAGGCCGGGGATTGAACCCAGGCCCTTCTCGCTGCGGGGGGCATTGGCCACAGCAGCGTGAAAGGGGTCTGGAATTATCGGCGTAACTGTGAAGCGCCGATCTCGCGGCCGTGCCGCCTCAAACCCCCCGGGTGAACACCAAAGTAACCGCGGCCACGGTTTTCGCCGCAACATCTGCTCCCCACTAAAGTTTAACCGCGCGCGCGTGGCAAAACCATCCGGACCTGGGAACCCCCCCACCGCTGGCATCCTGCAGATGGTGACTCCTCCTTTCAAGTGCTGACGACTCGAATTTCCTCCTCTCTCTTCCTCCAAAATAACTTAACGGGGTCTCGTGGGGGGTTGATCGAACGGTGGTCACAGGCTGACCCCAGAACGCCTCGGCCTGTGTGCAAAACCTTTTGCCACGGAGTGCGAAAACTTTTACTGGGTCTGTATGTATTTACGTACGCAATGTTTGTCTGTGAGCAATGTTAGTCTATGGGCAATGTTAGTCTATGGGTAAAGTTAGTATTTGAGCAATGCAAATCGACGGGCAATGTTAGTCTACAGGCAAAGCAAACAAATATAATATATTCTACAAAAATGCGTTATCAATATAGACGATTTAAAAGCGCAAAGTTCTAGTGGCTCTCTACGCGAGTCTATGGGTCTCCGTGAGCCGGGGTCGTAGTGCAGCGCGCCAACCGCCACGCGCACGTACACGGTCACATGGGCTCATCATCGCGTGGAAATTTACAGCAGCAAAATTACTCTAAACGCGCGATGTCCATTCTGAATGTGGAGGGGCCGGAGAAAGATCCACGCAACCACGGGGAGAACACGCAAACTCCAAACACACAGGTGTCGGTGTCGGGATTGAAACCCGCAACCTCCTGTATACCAGGCAAGGTAGTTAACATCCCGCTATACACATACACAAACACAGAGACAATTTCAACCGAGAAGATGGATTCTGGCTCAGCAATCATTGGAAGGATTTGATAAACCATTTCGGGTCTTAATTGATTGTTCACGCTTACGGTGGCTTTCAGACTGCATCCATTATTTTTCGTCTCCCCCCCCCCTCCTCTTTTCCGAACATAGATGGACTCGTCCATCCCTGCAGTCACGAACACAGATGGACTCGTCCATCCCTGCAGTCACCTTCATAGATGGACTCGTCCATCTGAACAAACTGCCAAATCGCTCTCCGTGGTGCTAACGTTAAAAAGTAACCGCCACTTTTTTCAAATTTTCTTGCTGCGGTTTTCACACCTGATGACGACTGCTTGTGTTGCGGTCGAAACGCCGTGAGAATTTAATTGTTTCATATTTTTATTATTTCATTGTTTCCCTTCTACGTGGTGACTTTACCGAAAGAACCAAGCAAATGAATCCCTGCAGTCACGAAAGCTTTAAATCGAAATTTAAAATCCCGCCACTGGTCGAGCCGCGACCGCGCACTCGTGACGGCCCCCCCTCCACAGGACACGCACGAGACACCAGGGGTGACGGGAGGAAGAGGGGATGCCGAGGCCGTGGGGGAGAGAGGAAGAGGCGTGTGAGAGGGGCCCCACCTTGCCGATTTCCTCTTTCTGCCGCTTGATGTTGGCCACGATCTCCAGGATGCGCTGGGTGTAGGCCGCTCGGGCGACGTCCTTCGGCATCGACTCGTAGTCGGCCGCCTGCGGGACAGGCGCACGCACGCACGAGGTTCCGCACCTCACGATAAGCACGGCTGGCCACGTTGGCAATGCGAACGAACATCGTCAATCCCTTCCCCCCGCTCCGTCCCGTATAGCCTGAACAGACTGTCGGGGCAAGCGCCGGGGCACGGCACACAAAGGAGGTGGGTGGCCAGCACCACGCGCACTCGTCTTCCCGGTGACGGTGTTTACACACCTCGCCAGGTACTCGTTTGAGGAGAGGCCCCTTGAACCAGTACAGATTGATCGTCACCGGTGTTGCCCGTGAGCGGGAATCGAACTCGGGTCGACAGGTTTGCGGAGCGGCGCTCTAAGCGCTACACCACCGCACCCATCCACAGATCCACATAGAGACCCACAGCCTCGCATGAAGACAAATGTGTGTGCGTACGCACACGAGTGCGTGCTGTCAGTACGCACGCACGTATGCACGTACCAGCTGGCGGTGGAGGTCTTCCTTGCTGCGCACCTCCTCGGCCGTGCTCTTCATCTTCACCCTCATCTCGCGGATCTGGGCCACGCGCCGAGACGATGCCTCCTGCAGGAACATGCGCACGCACACACGCGGTCAAACGGTCACATGGTCACACGGTCACACACACACGCGGTCGCACGGTCACATGGTCACACGCTCACACCGTCACACGGTCACACGGTCACACGGTCACATGGTCACGCGCTCACACGGTCACACAGACACGCGGTCGCACGGTCACGCGGTCGCACGGACACACGTACGCACGGTCACATGGTCACACGGTCACACACACACGCGGTCGCACGGTCACATGGTCACGCGCTCACACCGTCACACGGACACACGGTCACACGGACACACTGTCAAACGGTCACACGGACACAAAAGACAAAGATCCCCCGTATAGCCTTAACAGACTGTAGGGGCAAGTGCTGTTAGCGAGCACCTATGAAGGCCGGAACGGCACACGAGGGGGTGGGTGGCAATGTTTACACACCGCACCAGGTACTCATTTGAGGCTGAGTCGACCTAAGGGAGGCCCAGGACCGGTTCATACATATTCGCCGCTATTATTGGTCGTGAGCGGGAATCGGCCTCGGGTCGTCAGGGTTCGTAGCGTAGCTCGCTAACCACTGCGCCACCGCTCCACTCTCACGCCCACAACAACAACAACCCCCGGCGGCACTGCCTACCGAGCGACGGCGCTGCAAGCGCAGCGCTCGTGCCGGGCTAGGTACACGCTCGCGGACTCACCTGGCAGGACAGCCCCAGCTCCTTGAGCTCTCGTAGCTGCTGCACGAGCGGAGAGCGGTGAGACTCCCACTGAGCGGTGAGGGCGAGCACTCTCTTAGCGCTGCCCTCCACCACCGCCTACACCACACGCGTACAAAAAGACAAAGATCCCCCCCCCCGTATAGCTTTCACGGACTGCTGGGGCGAGCGCCAAGCATCAGCACCAATGAACCGTCACTTGACCCGTCACTTGACCCTTGATTGATTGAGGTCGGAGGGTCGGGGGGGGCGTAGGGGGGGTGGGGGTGGAGGGGGGTGGTGCAGGGGGCGGGGGGGAGTCACCTGCAACTTGGCAGCATTGTTGTGGGCGTCGGGCAGGAGATCGAGGGTCGCCTTGCGCACGCGGAAAGATTCCCGGTGCTCGGCCAGGGCCTGCTGACTAGCCCCCAGCTCCTCCTCCACCTGATGGACACGGGGGGAGATGTTAACTCCCTCCCCCCCCCCGCGCGCTGGTATGCAGCGAGTGCGTGGGTCCAATCCCGACCCTGACGCCTGCTCCATGTTTGGAGTTTGTGTGTTCTCCTTCCGGGTCCTGCGGTTTGTCCCTCCGCATGTAGAATCAACATGCGTTTTGGACTATTTGGCTGCTAGGATAAACTTCCAAGCGACAAACCACGTCGTTTTGAGTTATCACTTGTGGCCAGGTCGTGTCTGAAAACGATCCATGTAGCTCAGTGGGCCTTGCCTGGCAAAATAAAAAGTTCAGTTTTAGTTCAGCCTGAACAGAATGCTGGAGCAAGTGCCGTTCACAGGCATCTGATAAGAAGGCCGACGCAGCACACGAGGGGGTGGATGGGTGGCCAGCACCACGCCCGACCACCTGATGTTCACCAGACCGCACCAGGTACTCATTTAAGGCCGAATCGACCTACAGAATATCTGAAGGTTGCCTGTAAGTGGGTATCGAACTCAGGGAGCCGGGTTCGTAGCACAATGCAATACCACCCTCTTACCTTTTCTCTACTTTGCACTGCTATCGATTTTTTTTGTACTGTTTGCTGTTGTAACTCGTTGACCCGCGCCTACTGGACATCTGTGGGAAAGAACTTTATAGCTCATCGGATTCCTCCAGCAGTCTAAATAAAGACTCTAGATTCTTCTTCCTAACAAGTAAACACACACACAAGCATGAATCTCAAGCGGTCACATAGACGATAACTGTGTGTGTGTGTGTGTGCGCGCGATCGTGCAAATACACGTGCAAGTCGCATCTGCGTGTGCATTTGTGCGTGCATGTGTAAGCATGTGTGTACGCGTGTGTGCATGTGTGCATGTACGTATGTGTGTGTTTGCGCGTGTGCACGCGTGTGTACGTGTATGTGCGCATGTGTGCATGTACGTATGTGCTTGTTTGCGCGTGTGTACGCGTGTGTACGCGTGTGTACGCGTGTGTACATGTGATTGCATGTGTGCATGTATGTATGTACGTGTTTGTGCGTGTGTACGCGTGTGTACATGTGTGTGCATGTGTGCATGTATGTATGTGCGTGTTTGCGCGTGTGTACGCGTGTGTACGTGTGTACGTGTGTGTAGCAGTAGTGTAGAGGTTCGCGTGCTTCGCTACGAACCCGGCGACCAATTATCTGAATGGGTACCTGGGCCTCCCCTAGGTTGACTCAGCATAACATTAGTACCTAGTGCAATGTGTAAAAGCATTGCCACTGGGGAGACAAAGGCGGCCGGGCGTGGTGTTGGCCATCCACCCCCTCGTGTGCCGTGCCGGCCTTCACAGGTGCTCGCTAACAGCACTTGCCCCAACATTCTGTTAAAGCTACACGGGGAATCTTTGCCTTCGTCTTGTTTATACGTGTGTAGTGACATCGCTGGATGTCACCATGCTGTAAGTGCAGTGCCGGCCCTACAGGACACGGTGTGTGGGTGCCGACCTTAGGGGAAGGTCGTGTGAGGCCATGGCACTCTGGTTGACCCGGGATGACACGTGGCTAGGAGGATCACGTGGGTAGAACCCAGGCTCTTCCTGACGGTTCTGGAAGGGGGGCGTGGCCAAGGGCGGAGCCGTCCCGGGGAAGAAACCCTTCGTCGACGATCTTCGTTCTGCGAGTCTTCCAGCACGTGGACCCGGGCAGTATGTTGTTGGTCCCGGCTCCGGAGTTAATAGTGACTCAGTAGCCAGTGCAGTTGACCAGGGTGGTCGTCGTGTTAAAAGGGGAAGTTACCCCGTTGTGTTGGAACTTAATAAATGCGCTGCCTCCAAGTCTAAGAGTGCGACTCAGTTGAACCCACTACACGTGTGCGCGTGTACATGTGCGCGTGTACATGTGCGCGTGTACATGTGTGCGTGTAAGTGTGCGTGTAAGTGTGCGTATACGTGTGTGCTGTGTACGCGTGTGTACATTTGTGTGTGTGTGTACGTTTGTGTGTGCGTGTACGTGTGTGTGTGCGTGTACGTGTGTGTGTGCGTGTGTGTGCGTGTACACGTGTGTACGCGTGTGTACACGTGTGCGCGTGTGCGTGCGTGTGCGTGCGTGTGCTAGTGTGCATGTGTGAGTGCGTGTACGTGTGTGTGCATGCACGTGTGTGTGTGTGTACGGGTGTGTACTCGTGTGTACGTGTGTGTGCGTGCGCGTACATGTGTGCGCGTACGTGTGTGTGTACGTGTGTGCGTGTACGTGAGTGTACGGGTGTGTACTCGTGTGTACGTGTGTGTGCGTGCGCGTACATGTGTGCGTGTGTACGTGTGTGCGTGTGTGCGTGTATGTGTGTGTACGGGTGCGTGCGCGTACATGTGTGCGTGTGTACGTGTGTGCCTGTGTGTGTACGTGTGTGCGTGTACGTGAGTGTACGGGTGTGTACTCGTGTGTACGTGTACGTGTGCGTGCGCGTACATGTGTGTGCGTGTGCGTGTGTGCGTGTGTGCGTGTGCGCGTGCCCTTGCCTGCGTGAATCCACCTCGCAACCGCCGTGTGTCCAGCTCCAGTGCCTCCACCTGCGCCACCGTGCGCTGCAGCCGCTCCTGCAGCGTCTCCGCCTCCCTCGCTCGCCGGGACTGCACATCCTGCACCGGCAAACGGGGCAGACGAGGTGGCGGTGATGGCGGCGATGACGATGGTGGCGGTGATGATAACAGCGGCGGCGGTGGTGGTGGTGGCGATCATGTGGACAGTGACGACGATGGTGGTGGTTGAAGATGACCGTGGTTGTGGTGGTGGTGGTGATGGTGGCGGTGATGATAACAGCGGTGGTGGTGGTGGCGATCATGTGGACAGTGATGACGATGGCGGTGGTGAAGATGACCGTGGTTGCGGTGGCGGTGATGGCGATGGTGACGGCGGTGGTGGTAGTGATGGTAATGATGACCACGGCAATGACAGTGGTGATGATGGTGTGGTCGCCCCAGTGGGCTCGATCGTAGTGGTGATAACGTCGCTAGCGATGACGACGAAGGTGATTTAGGTCGTGGCGCCGATGATGATGGCGATGAAGGCAGCGGAAATGGCGTTGACGACAACGGTGACGATGACGTCGGAGGTAGCGCAAATTTGACGACTGCCGTGGCGGCGGAGGCCGAAGACAAAGACGGCCGCGGCGACGGTGCCGCTGGCGGTGACGACGGTGCCGCCGCACCTGCTCAGTGTCCTCGCTGACGGCGCGGCGATCGCCGGGAGGAGAAGCCAACAGCTCCGGCTTGTCCTGCTCCTGCGGCAGCCGAGACGGTAAACGGGTGTCAAACCACGGCCGCTCACGGTGCGGATGGATCCGCTGGCCGCCCCGGTTATTACTGCGGCGCGGAGCAACGGCCACCTCTTCAGTGACGCCGCCTGCGTCGCTGAAGAGGCGGCCGTTAAAGATCCCGCGACGTCGTTCGGGCAAGGGTTGGTCGTTGTCTACCGGCAAGACGGTCCAAAATGTGCCAAATTGAATGAGGATGACACCGCATATTACCCTGTTGGAATCCCGACTGTGCAGACTTGGCAGGACCCTCTTGGCTACGAGACCTGCTGAGGTTATCCTCGGTAAACAATGCTAATTGTAAAAAGACACCCGCAAACATGCACTCACTCATGCACGCACACAAAGACAAGGCTGCCCCCATAGAGCCCCTGGCAGATTGTCGGTGCAAGTGGCGTTAGAAGGGCACACAAAGCGGTGGGTGACCGGCGCCATGCCCCGCCGCCTTTGTCTCTCAAATTCTCATGTTGACACCCCGCTCCGGGTCCCCGTTTAAGGCTGAGTCGACCTAGTGGAGGCCGAGGACCGGCTCAGATATGCGTCATCGATGTTGCCCATTAGCGCACGCACACAAAGACAAAGATCCTCCGTGTAGCCTTAACAGGCTGTAGGGGCAAGTGCTGTTAGCGAGCACCCTATGAAGGTCGGCACGGCACACGAGGGGGTGGGTGGCCAGCACCACGCCCGGCCGCCTTTGTCTCCCCAGTGGCCATGTTTACGCACTGCACCAGGTACTCATTTGAGGCTGAGTCGAACCTAGGGGAGGTCCAGGACCGGTTCAGATAATCCTCACCGGTGTTGGCCGTGAGCGGGAATCGAACCCGGGTCGCCGGGTTCGTAGCGCAGCGTGGCGCTAACCGCTACACCACCGCTCCCCACACACGCGCGCGCACACACGCACACACACACACACACCGACACACATTCGTACGCGCACGCACACGCGCACGAACCTGCGTGAAGATGAGCTTCTCCGTGTGCACGAAGCGGGACCCCTTGACCGCTGCCGTCCCCGCAGGGGCGCCCCCTCCCCCCGCGGTGACCCCCAGCGCCGTGACCCCCAGCGCCGTGACCCCCAGCGCCGGGACCGGGTCGGCGAGTCCTCGTGTCACGGCCTGCCGGAACTGCTCCCGCACCTTCTTGTGCAGGCGCTCGCGCTTGCGCAGACGGTACTCCTGCTCGCACACACGCACGCACACACAAACGCACACACACACGCACGCACACACGCACACACGCACGCACACACGCATACACGCACGCACTCACGCACACACGCACACACACACGCACGCACACGCACGCACACGCACGCACAAATGCACACACTCACGCACACACGCACAAACGCACGCACACACGCACGCACGCACACACGCACAAACACACACACACACGCACACACGCACACACTCATGCACGCACACACGCACAAACACACACACTCGCGCATTACGCACAAACGCACGCAGCCACGCACGCACGCGTACGCTCGGGTCAGCGAGTGTGCGCAGAGAGACAGTCATGTGGGGACACGAGGTATGTTCCCTTCACATAGAAACAAACACGCTCACACATGCTCACTCATGCAAGACTCACTCACTCACCCACCCTACTCCCTCGCTCACTTGCTCACCTCCGGGGTGAGTCGGGACACGAGCCCCTGGTTGCTTCACTCGGTGTCCCACCCACCCGCTCACCCACCCACTCACCCACCCACTCACTCACCCACCCGCTCGCCTCCAGGGGAGAGTCAACACACGAGCAATTGGTTGTTCCACTCGGCTTCCCACTTACTTACCCACCCGCTCAGCCACGCACCCACCCACTCACCCACTGGTTCACTCGCTCGGTCACTCACCCACTTACCCATTCGCTCACCCACTCGCTCGCCCCCCCCCCCCGCTCACCTCCGGGGTGAGTCGGGACGCGAGCCCCTGGCTGTTCCACTCGGCGTCCCACTCCTGGGCGGCGCTCACTCCGGCCGTGTTGTTCTCGAGCACGGCTGCGGCCACGCGCGCGGGGCCCGGACACTGCCCGGACACCGTGGGCAGAAACTCGCTCCAGTACGCCTGCACGCCTGCGGTAGACACACACAAAGACAAAGGTCCCCCGTATCGTCTTAACAGACTGCGCTGATAGCGAGCGCCTCTAAAGGCCGGAACGATACACGAGGGGGTGGTGTCGTCAGAGACACGTCCGACCACCTTAGTCTCCCTACTGGCAATATTTACTCATTTGAGGCCGAGTCGACCTAGGGGAGGCCCAGGACCGGTTCAGATAAACGTCACTGGGTGTTGGCAGTGAGCGGGATTGAACCCAGGTTGCCGGGTTCGTAGCGCAGCGCGCTAACCACGACACGACTGCTCCCCACAAACACACTTGCAGGAACACACTGAACACTTTCACATCACAAGCCGCACAACGCACAGCTATGAACTCGAACACACACGGACTGACTCGCTCACACACACACGTGCACCCTATAACAGGGTCTCATCACGTGTCTAATGAGGCGTTGCCTTGAACGACTTCTCCTAGCCTCCAAAAACCCCTCCCCCACACCCCAAATCCCCCCCCCCCCACGGCACTAACCCAAGTCTGCGGGCACCACCGCCCACCACCGCCACCACCGCCACCACCGTCTCGCCCGAGTGACGCCGATAATTGGCTGACGAAACGCTAACAGAAGGGTCCTGGTGGTGGTGGGGGGGGGTGCTCTCCGCGTCATCGCCCCCGCTAATAGCGCAGCTCGTTAGTCGGCTCCGCCGTGGGTGCAAATCGCCTTCCCATTCTCTCCGCCGGGACGAGCGGGCGCGAGGCTGCGCAGTTTAACTTGGCGGAAATCCGCGGGTGGCAGCACGACAGCGGGGAACCTCGGGGGGCCCGGGGGGCGGGGGAAGCAGCGACGACCGCCACTTCATGTCGCGCCGTGGCCAGCAGAGGGCGGTGCAGAAGACAATCCATTGTTGTCCTGTACTCATTGTTGTCCTGTACTCATTGTTGTCCTGTACTCATTGTTGTCCTGTACTCATTGTTGTCCTGTACTCATTGTTGTCCTGTACTCATCGCTGTGTGCCCCCACGTCTATGCTCCTCATCTTCAACCAGCACCGTAGGGCTACGCCTGCACGTGGACGCCTGCAGGCGGACTCCAGTAAGGTGGACGCCTGTAGGTGGATTTCAGCAGGCGGGCACTTAAAACTAAACGATGTTTTATTTTACCAGCTGAGACCCCACTGAGCTACGTAGCTCTTTGTCAGAAGCGACCTGGCCACCAATCGTAGCCCGACGAGGTGGCTAACCGAGCCGAAATTTACATCAGCCACGAGTTGGCTACGTACGGTGCGAAAGAAGTTCAACATGCACGCATGTTTCTAAATGCGGAGGGGAGAAATCGGAAGAGACTCGGAAAATAATCCACGCGACCACGGGGAGAGAGAGAGAGAGACACGCAAAACTAAAAATAATACAACAGGCGTCAGGGTCAGGATCGAACCCACGACCTCCTGCATAGCAGGCGAGGGAGTTAACATCTCACCACTGCACCACTTGCAGACAGGCACTGTCGGTAGCCACCTGTTGGTGGACAAACTTGTAGATGGACAGTTGTAGGCCTACACCTGTTGGTGGACACACACCTGTAGATGGACAGTTGTAGGCCTACACCTGTTGGTGGACAGCTGTTGGGATACACCAGTAGATGGACACCAGGAGGTGGACACCAGTAAGTGGACACCAGGAGGTGGACACTAGTAGGTGGACACCAATAGAGGGACATCAGTAGGTGGACACCAGTAGATGGACACCAGGAGGTGGACACCAGTAAGTGGACACCAATAGAGGGACACCAGTAGATGGACACCAGTAGGTGGACACCAGTAAGTGGACACCAATAGAGGGACACCAGTAGGTGGACACCAGTAGGTGGACACCAGTAGATGGACACCAGGAGGTGGACACCAATAGAGGGACACCAGTAGATGGACACCAGGAGGTGGACACCAGGAGGTGGACACCTGTCTCACCTTTTGGGATGCGCAAGGTCTTGTCGGTGACGTCGGCGGGGACGGAGAGCGGGACGGAGCGGAATGGCACGGGCCTGCTGGGGTCCTGCGGCCACTCGACCACACACACGGACAAGATCCCCCGTACAGCCCTCACAGACCTTCACGTCCATCGCCCGTCAACCCTCCCAGCCACGATCAAACGGCGCTCCCGAGTTTTAAGTCGAAGCTGATTTTCTTTAAACCAGAGTGAGAACTAAACGGGACCAGGGTGAGTCTCATTTGCCCCCTTCCCCAAAAGAGTGACCTGGGCCACGATTCACGCAGGAGGCGACGATTATTGCCGTGCGGCGGTGGTGCACGCCTGCAATCCAGCGCTGTGGAAGTGGGGGGGGGGGGGGGGGGGGGGGGGGGTGGGCAAGCAAGGGTTGGTGGATCACAGAAAAGTTGCGAAGCTTCCCCCCGGGGAAAGTGCTGCTCATAGCGCGGCAAGCTAACCACTGCGCCACCGCTCCATGCACACGCGGGCACACGCGTGTCAGTGCGCCATAGCGGAGCGGTTAACGAGCTGCGCTACGAGCGCCGGGCACCCAAAGTCGATTCCCGCTCACGACCAATAGCAGCGGTAAATACCTGAACCGGTCCTGGGACCTCGACGCGGCCTTAAAACGAATGCACGGTGCAGTGTGCAAACATCAGCATTAGGAAGACAAAGAAAGGCGGCCAGGTGCCGTACCGGCCTTCATAGGTGCTTGCTAACAGCACTGGCCCCAACAGTCGGTTAAGGTTAAATGGGGGATCTTCACCACATGGGGGAGGTTGCACGGGAGATCGTGCATGCAAATCACGCAGGTTCTGTTCGACAGGACGCAGGGGGCTAAACGGGTGCGGCAGTGGTTGGGGAAGAGGCCGGTGAAGCAGGAGAAGAGGTGGGTGAAGCAGAAGAGGTGGGTGAAGCAGGAGAAGAGGCGGGTGAAGCAGGAGAAGAGGCGGGTGAAGCAGGAGAAGAGGCGGGTGAAGCAGGAGAAGAGGTGCGTGAAGCAGGAGAAGAGGTGCGTGAAGCAGGAGAAGAGGTGGATGAAGCAGGAGAAGAGGCGGGTGAAGCAGGAGAAGAGGTGGGTGAAGCAGGAGAAGAGGCGGGTGCAGCAGGAGAAGAGGTGGGTGAAGCAGGAGAAGAGGTGGGTGAAGCAGGAGAAGAGGTGTGTGATGCAGGAGAAGAGGTGCGTGAAGCAGGAGAAGAGGTGCGTGAAGCAGGAGAAGAGGTGGGTGAAGCAGGAGAAGAGGCGGGTGATGCAGGAGAAGAGGTGCGTGAAGCAGGAGAAGAGGTGCGTGAAGCAGGAGAAGAGGTGGGTGAAGCAGGAGAAGAGGTGGGTGAAGCAGGAGAAGAGGTGGGTGAAGCAGGAGAAGGGGCGGGTGAAGCAGGACAAGAGGCGGGTGAAGCAGTAGAAGAGTCAGGTGATGCAGGAGAAGAGGTGGGTGAAGCAGGAGAAGAGGTGGGTGAAGCAGGAGAAGAGGCGGGTGAAGCAGGAGAAGAGGCGGGTGAAGCAGGAGAAGAGGTGGGTGAAGCAGGAGAAGAGGCGGGTAGTTGCGGCCCTTCCCTGCACACGAACCCCCCCCCGTAACCGCGCTGCCCTGGCCCCCAGCTCTAACCACAACCCTCACGGCGAAGCCCCGAACTTTAACCGCCACTCCCAACAGCGAACCGCCCACCCCTCGTAACCGCACCGAGGCCGACGCCCCCCCCCCCCCCCCCCGCCGCGGGGCGGGAGGGCCGAGCGCCGCCGGGCACGCACCGAGAGGAGGAGCGGCGTCCGGCAGAGCGGAGGCACCCAGGGGGTGGCGAGCTCCACGCGGATCTGCTCGGCTATCGCCCTCTGCAGCAGAGCCATCTTCCCTGGCGGCACACAAAGACAAAAAAGTAAAGGTCTTCCCCCCCGCCCCCCCCGCCGCCGGGCCGATAGCCTGTAACAGACTGTTGGGGCAAGTGCCGTCAGCGATTAGCAATCTGCGAGGGCCGGCACGGCACACGAAGGGGGTGGGGTTGGCAGCACGGCGCCCGGCCGCCTTTGTCTCCCCAGTGGCGATGCTTACGCACCGCACCGGGTACTCACTTGAGGCTGAGTCGACCTAGGGGAGACGGCTCACGACCGGTTCAGATTATTGTCACCGTGGTGTTGGCCGTGAGCGGGAATCGAACTCGGGTCGCCGGGTTCGTAGAGTGGTGCGCTAACCGCTGCATTACTGCTCGACAAAGGTAAAGATCCCCCGTGTAGCCTTAACAATGTTAGGGCAAGTGCTGTTAGCAAGCACCAATGAATGGCAGCATGGCACACGAGGGGGTGGGTGGTCAGCACCATGCCAGACCGTCTTTGTCTCTCCAGCGGTGATGTTTTAACACATCACGCCAGGTACTCATTTCAGGCTGAGTAGACCTAGGAGCGGCACAGGACCAGTTCAGATAATCATCACTGGGTGTTGGCCGTGAGTGGGAATCGGACTCTGGTCGCCGGGTTCGTAGCGCAGCGCGCAAATTTCTACGCCACCTATCTCCCCATACTACTGCTCGACACACACGCACCCACACACGCACCCACGCACGCAAGCACGCATGCATGCACAGGGGAAACCTCTCAGCTCCACGGCTGTATTTTTTGTGCCGGTTGTACCGCGTTGATGCACGACCTGGCCATGCGGAACTTCACCGTGTGTGGAGTTGTTGTTGGATTGCCCTGTTCGTGGTTTATTATTTTTTCGACACGGCAAACAGGTTGTCGACGGTGTAACCAAGTCCTCATCGAAAATGAACACTTATCACCCGATGGGTTCTACCTGTGCCAACACGAAAAACCTAATTATAATCGCGACACTTGCATTTGCATCGCGCTCATAACGTAACGAAGCGTGCCGGAGGAGCGCGGTTTTCTTTCAGCCTAGGGCACTCCACCCACCACCCGCCCCCCGCCGGCAGCAACGTCCCTGCCTGCGGCAAGAGTGCAAACGCCGGTCCGTGGCAACGTCAAGAGCTGGGACGGTTCACGCCAATTTAGTCGATTGACCGACGGAATATTGAAGGTCGATCCAGTTCCCTTGCTCAGAATACATTTCCGCGAGATACTGCTGGTTTGGAGAGTCAACAGACCGATGGACTAAAATGTATTTTTTTACGTGGCCACACAGATATGGAGTTCTGCTTATATGTATATGTATTATGCTGAACTTCTTTCGAACCGTATGTAGCCAACCACGCTGATCGGAGGCATATATATACTCCAGGTAAGAGGTCAGGCTGCAGGGATCAAGGGGTCAGGCTCCAGGGGTCAAGGGTCGGGTACCGGCTGGCCGGTCGGCAGAGACGGCGCTCTCCTTGGGCAGCTTCTCGAGGAGGAAGAGGAAGAGGCGACGGATCTCGGACTCGCTACTGTACAGGAACGTCTGGTAGCCGATCTCACCCGGGTAGCCCAGCTCCTGCAACAGCGGCAGCGGTGGCAACATCAGTAGCAGCAGTATCAGCAGGAGGGGAGCAGTAGCAGCAGTAGTAGCAGCAGCAGCAGCAGTAGTAGTAGAGGAGCGGTAGCAGCAACATGAGAGTAGCGGTAGCAGCATCAGAAGCAGAGGAGAAGCGGTAGCAGTAGCAGCAGCAGAGCAGAGGCAGGAGAGGAGCAGTAGCAGTAGCCACAGCAGGAGAAGAGCAGAAACAGCAGCAAGAGTGGAGCGGTAGCAGCAGCAGCGCAGGAGGAGCAGAAGCAGCAACAGCAGCCGCATAAGTAGCAGCATATTTAGCAGCAGCAGCACCAGTAGCCCCAGCAGTAGGAGAGGAGCAGCAAAAGCAACAGCATAAGTATCAGCATTAGTGGCAGCAGCATCAGTATCAGTAGAAACAGGAACAGCAACAGCAGTAAAAGCACTTGCCACAACAGTCTATGAAGCAAACATGGGGGACCTGTGTGCTTGTGTTTGTGGGTCGTGTGTGAGAATGTGATACGTGCGCATAAGCATCAGTGCGAGCGTGCGCGTTGGTCACAGCGGTTAGCGCACTGCGCTACGAACCCGGCGAGCCGAGTTCTGATTTCCACTCACGGCCAACACCAGCGGCGATTATCTGAATTGGTTATGGGCCTCCCCTAGGTCGACTCAGCCTCAAACGAGTATCTGGTGCGGTGTGTAAACATCACCACTGGGAAGACAAAGGCGACCGGGCGTAGTGTTGGCCACCCACCCCCCTCGTGCGCCGTGCCGGCCTTCCTACGTGCAACTCGCTAACAGCACTCGCCCCAACAGTCTGCTGAGGCTATAACGGGGGAAATCTTTCGTCTCTCTGTTGTTGGGGGGGGGGTCACACGGCCACCCACACCTGGCAAGCCTGCGCCAGGCTCATCCCCAGCCGGAATCTCGCCGACATTCCCGGTGGGAGCACGTGACTGAGACCGCCGCCGGCCGCCGGGCTGATGACGCGCAGGCAGAGGACGGCGCCCTCCACAATCAACTCCGTCGTGAACTCCTTGAGCCCCGTCACCTCCTCCGGTACCTCCCTGCACATGCGCACACACACACACACACACAAATGGGTACCCCCCCGTCATAGCCTTTAAACAGACTGTTTAAGGCAAGTGATCTTGCGGTGGCTAGGAGATGTTAACTGACTCGCCTGATATACGGGAGGTCGTGGGTTCGAATCTGACCCCAACGCCTGCTGTATATTTTAAGTGTGCATGTCTCTCTCTCTCTCTCTCCGTGGTCGCGTGGATTTTTCTCCAGGTTCTCCGGTTTTTCCCTCCACATTTATAAACATACGTTTAGAGTATTCGACTGCTATAAATGTCCACCTGATAAGCCACTTCGTTGGGCTATCATTTGTGGCCAGGTCACTTCTGACAAAAGAGCTACATAGATCAGTGGGCTTTACCTGGTAAAAAAAAAAAAAAAGTGTTTTTATAGTTTATAGTTTAAGCCCCGTACGACACTTTTGTCTCCGCAGTGCTGACATCTACGCTCCGCACTGGGTACTCATTTAAGGCTCAGTTTGACCTAGGGGAGAGCCAGGACTGGCTCAAATGTTTCGCCAAAGTTATCGCTCGTAGCGCATCGCGCTATAACCACTGCGTTACCCCTCCTGCACTCACAAAAACAGTCACGCCTGCACGGTGAAGCGGCCCTGTGGTTGCGAGTTTGCCGCGTCGTTGCAGAGGTTCACGGTCCGAAACCTGCGCCCCCCCCACCGATTAAAGCTCCGGTGGCGAATTTGGCAAGCGTGGGCCACTGTGTGCCAGCGTCGTGGTCCAAATTTGCCAAAAGTCGAAAAAGACTGGCAAAACCACTCATTTGTGATTACACACCAGTGCTCATTGCCCCCTACGGGACATCGGTGAACATTTGCTTTATCGCTAAATCGGATTCATTCAGTATTAAATAAATATGCCGATTCTGATAATGCCCCAGGTCACTCTTGAAGATGAGACTCATCCTGGTCTCTTTCGAGTCTCTCACCTGATTAAGCAGAACAATAAAATAACGCACAAGAAGCAAAGTTCCCAACCGTGAAGCCTTGCACTTAAGGTGGTGACATTGTGCGTGTGTGCGAACGGGAAGCGGTAACGCAACAAGTTGACACATTGCGCTCCGAACCTGACAACGCAAGTTTAATAGCCCACTGATGGCCCACATTGACGAATCTCAGAACTAGATCTGGTCCACCCCTAACCCGACTTAGCCATGAAATGAGTCGCTGGCGAAGTGTGCGTAAAACATTGACACTGGGGAGACAAATTCGGCCCGGCGTGGTGCTGGCCGCACCACCATCTCGTGCGCCGTGCCGGCTAACAGCACTTGCCCCAACAGTCCTTCGCTCACAATATAAAGCTGCGTATCTGAGAGTTGGTGATTTATGATCACAGAAATGTACACACTGATGTAGCTCAAGCATAGTAGAACAAACGAGGTGTACATAATGCAGAACAGCTGAGACGAACATTACAAGCATAGTAGAACAAACGAGGTGTACATAATGCAGAACAGCTGAGACGAACATTACAAAATGAGACGAGAGGGAAGTTATTCTTGAACTGACCGTTGAGTGGTCGCAAAAAATAGTCACAGTGTTGTCACAGTGTGGTCACGTAAAGAGTGTGGTCATAGCGTGGTCTCAGTGAGAGTGTGGTCACAGTGGGAGTGTGTTCATTTTGAGGGTGTGGTCAGTGAGAGTGTGGTCACAGTGGGAGTGTGGTCACAGTGAGAGTGTGGTCTCAGTGAGAGTGTGGTCACAGTGAGAGTGTGGTCACAGTGAGAGTGTGGTCACAGTGAGAGTGTGGTCACAGTGAGAGTGTGGTCACAGTGAGAGTGTGGTCACAGTGAGAGTGTGGTCACAGTGAGAGTGTGGTCACAGTGAGAGTGTGGTCACAGTGAGAGTGTGGTCTCAGTGAGAGTGTGGTCACAGTGAGAGTGTGGTCTCAGTGAGACTGTGGTCACAGTGAGAGTGTGGTCACAGTGAGAGTGTGGTCTCAGTGAGAGTGTGGTCAGTGAGAGTGTGGTCACAGTGAGAGTGTGGTCACAGTGAGAGTGTGTTCACAGTGAGAGTGTGGTCACAGTGAGAGTGTGGTCACAGTGAAAGTGTGGTCACAGTGAGAGTGTGTTCATTTTGAGGGTGTGGTCAGTGAGAGTGTGGTCAGTAAGAATGTGGTCTCAGTGAGAGTGTGGTCACAGTGAGAGTCTGTTCATTTTGAGGGTGTGGTCACAGTGAGAGTGTGGTTACAGTGAAAGTGTGGTCTCAGTAAGAGTGTGGTCTCAGTGAGAGTGTGGTCAGAGTGAAAGTGTGTTCATTTTGAGGGTGGTCTCAGTGAGAGTGTGGTCACAGTGAAAGAGTTGCCATAGTGAGAGCACAGTCACTTAGAGAGTGCAGTCACGTATTGTACGTGGTTCAGAAAGAAGTGTGGCCAGAGTGGGCCCGGTTACTCACAGGCCGCACTGCCGGAGGGAATGAAGAATTATGCCGTCCACCTCCTCCATGATGGCACCCTGACCTCCTCAGCCACCGTCTCTCCTCCTCACCAACCTCACTTCTTCAACCTACCGACTCAGCGTTCGAAGATCACAAGGCTCCACACATGTTAATTGCCACCGTGACTTACACAGAGGGTGGTTTAAAAAAAAAAAGAGGCACGTGCCTGGCTGTAATATGTCACGTTTTTACGAGAAGGGGACTTTGAGACAGATTTAAGTAATACCAGAGGAGAGCACAGTGAGGGCAGAAAACTCGTATCCACCAGAGACCTGGGTCAAATTCCCTGCAGACCCAGGTCAGCTTAAACACGAACAGGTTCCATTGAAAAAGCAGACCATTCTACAAAAAACATTATACAAGTACATACAAATGTACCGTAATTCCATCGCTGGATGATAGCCTCCCCCATGCCGTTGCAGGTCATGGGGGCTATAGAACATACTTCCCCACACTGGCTCCCAAAGGTGGGGAGCTTTGAGGTTGGAGGGCATTGTATCGAGCAGTTTTTTTTCATTGCAAGGCCCGCGGGCCACTGGCGGCCACTGGTGGCCTTTACTGCGGCCCCTGACGCGTGGCTCCTGACAATTCACGAACAGTGAAAACACACCCAACCCATCATCATCGTGATGCTGTTAAACACCCCAAATTATTTCAAATGTGCGGCAGCCCTCACACTGGCGTTGCCTCATCGGCGAAAGTGGCCCCACTGAAAATTAGTGAAGAACACTGGTATATACAGGGTGCTTAAAAAAAATGCGAACACTTTTGAGAATCTGCAACAATGCCACGTGACATGTGCTGCTGCCTCCGGGCTCTGGAGACCACCTGGAGAGAAGTTTCCAGGCCACGTGTTGACAACGATGGCGAACAAGTGGGAGAGACTCTTTGACTTTTTGAAGCTATTAACATATATTTGTTTTCACGTTAAAGTGTATTAGCCGTTATTTTTCCATTAAAAACGATAGTCCCATATAAGTGAACATTTTTTTAAGCACCCTGCTGTACTGTAGAGTAATCATAAATTTTCTGCACTGCCCTTTATTGACAATACAGCCTCGTAGCAAATATATTTTTTTGTTTAAAACAAGTGAATGTAAGTGTCAAGAAAATTAAGTAAACTTAAGGCAAAACGAATCTACTAAATGAACAGACTAAATTACAAATATGATGTCTGCTGGCCGTGTCGTCCTTCAAAAAGAGCTTCTTAGCCCAACTGGCTTTACTCGGGAAATATATACGTCTGAAACAAACTTCTGAATACCGTTCATATTAACAAATGGGTGGCGCACTGCACTATGAACCCTGTCCCGAGTTAAATTCCTGACCCATGTCTAACAACAGCGGCGAGTGTTTGTACAGTATCTCCAATAAGCAGAACAAAACAATGGCGACACAAAGTCAAACGAATCTGTCCATCAAAGTTCACGGATTGACAACCAACGAACGCGGCGTTACTCGGCGTTCGAAAAAAGATTTTTGCAACCAGCCACAGGGCAGATGACGATGGCCTCGCTGTTGCATTAGTTCCTCATTGAAGCGTTTGCACGTCCGGTTAACAGCGTTTAGAAATAAAAACGAGACGCGAGTTTACATGTACCCAGAGCTCAACAAGGTATGCACATCGCAACACATATGTCAACCGTGGATTGTCAAACGTGGCTTTCAACCAGTGTCCCACGGATGGACTATGGCACCGATTTAGCAACGTGGAGTTTTCACCACTGAATCTGGCAGGGCTGTAAACCGTGAAGATCGGAACCAATGCCATCAATGCTCATTGAGAGCAGGAAGTCACCGTGATTTTTTTTATAAATCATTTCCTCTTCGTAAGAAAGCCTCGCTAAATCTGAAGACTTTTTTTTTATTTTGGGAGGAGCCTGCATTGACAAACGTGGCCCATTCCACAACTCGTGAACACCGATTACCACCAATGGGCCTGATTCACATTGACACATTGATTCATCGCATCGGGTGGCGGGAGGAGTGTTTGCTATATTGGGAAGTTTGGCCAATTCCATTATTCATGGCTTGGAGTGTCAGGGGAAACCAGGAAAAACCCACCAGGATAACTAAACTATTGTTTTTAATGATACCAGAAATGGCCCACTGAGCTGTATAGCTCTTTTTCAGAAGCAACCTGGTCACAAATGATTGCTCAACGACGTGGCTTATCACGTGAATATTTATAGCAGCCAAATACTCGAAACGCCCATTTCTAAATGTGGAGGGAAAAACCGGAAGACCCGGAGAAAAATCCACGCGACCACGGGGAGAGAGAGAGACACGCACACATTCCAAATATACAGCAGCAGGGGTCAGGGTCGGGATCGAACCCACGGCCTTCCTGCATACCAGGCGAGGGAGTTAACATCTCCTAGCCACCGTGATGATGAGAGACACGCAAACTCCAAATATACAGCAGCAGGGGTCAGGGTCGGGATCGAACCCACGGCCTTCCTGCATACCAGGCGAGGGAGTTAACATCTCCTAGCCACCGTGGCTACCCCATACGAGAGGAGGTTACATTCAAAGCTCCGCACAGATTAATACAAGTATCATGTTGCTGTTCTACTTGCTTTATGGTCCCCGCCTTCACCAGCGTATTAATGTCTTCATCCAGCAGTGGATCGAGAAGGGGGCTGTCGCACGTACGCGCGCATGTCTTTCAATGGAGCGTCCACTGTAAATTTTCTGGAGTCAAATTCAGCTCATCATCGCACAGGAGGCCAATAAAATCGGTTACCACCACCCACCACTGCCGCTGCAGTAGTCCCTTGCCTCGTAACACGCACACACACATACGGAGTTACCACCACCCCACCCGGCAGATTTAACGACTCGACAAAGGCGACGGGAAACACATCACGGTTCAACTCCTCGCCAGTGCTCTTATTGTTTTACTTTACCCGTCTTCTCGGGAGTCCGAGGCTTGGGGGGCTACCGAGCTAGGGTCATCCCGCCGAGCACCGGCGCAGCGACTCGGGCTAGGATGCAGGCAACGAGGACGCTTGGGGTGCGGCCTACCCGATGTTGCCGCTTATGGAGGCGCGACAAGGCGACGGCGTGTCGCTCCCCGGCGGTGGCGGGTTCCCGACAGGTCCAACCGGGGGTGGCCCAGGTCCCCCCGAGACCCCCGAGTTCCTAAAGCCCCCTAAGTCCCGTTCCCTCGAGTGCCCGGCGCGGGATTTCCGCGGGTTTCGATGACAGACCGAAGGCGGGATTTGCATTTCCCAGCGCGCTTAAAGGCTCGAGCTCAAATCCAACCAATCGGATGGCGAGCTGCGCGCGAGACGCGGGGGCGGTGGCCAATGAGAGTGCGGGATTGATTACTCGGCGCCGTTGTGCGCTGGGAATTGTAACGGCCGCCGGGCCCTCGGTCAGCTGACCGCTGACCCTCGTGACCAAGGGGCGAGGGTCGGTTTCTTGGGGTTCAAAACGTTGTCTTGGGATTCTTGGGTTTCTGCATCCACGTGGTTTTTAATAGGACAGTTGTATAGACAACAACTGTCAACCCAATATGGTTTACCCGTTTCAATGCGGGCAAAAACTTTTTGTTTGTTTAATTTGTGTTTCTGCCTTGTGATGGGACTTCGGAGGATCCACGTTGAGATTTATAAGGGGCACTGGGTGACCAATAAAGTCTGAATTGGTCTGTAATAAGATAGGGCACTGATAAGGGGTTTACAGGTGTGTCGTTTATAGTTTAGCATATAGTAGTATAGTGGATAGTAGTGTATAGTGTAGTATATAGTAGTATAGTGGATAGTAGTGTATAGTGTACTATATAGTAGTGTAGTGGATAGTAGTGTATAGTGTATATAGTAGTGTAGTGGATAGTAGTGTATAGTGTAGTATATAGTAGTGTAGTGGATAGTAGTGTATAGTGCAGTATATAGTAGTGTCGTGGATAGTAGTGTATAGTGTAGTATATAGTAGTGTATAGTGTAGTATATAGTAGTGTAGTGTATAGTAGTGTATAGTGTAGTATATAGTGTAGTGGATAGTAGTGTATAGTGTAGTATATAGTAGTGTAGTCTATAGTGTAGTATATAGTAGTGTAGTGGATAGTGTATAGTGTAGTATATAGTAGTATAGTGGATAGTAGTGTATAGTGTAGTATATAGTAATGTAGTGTATAGTGTAATATATAGTGTAGTGTATAGTGTAGTATATAGTAGTGTAGTGGATAGTAGTGTATAGTGTAGTATATAGTAGTGGATAGTAGTGTATAGTGTAGTATATAGTAGTGTAGTGTATAGTGTATTATATAGTAGTGTAGTGGATAGTGTATAGTGTAGTATATAGTAGTGTCATGTATAGTGTATAGTGTAGTATATAGTAATGTAGTGGATAGTGTATAGTGTAGTATATAGTAGTGTCGTGTATAGTAGTGTATAGTGTAGTATATAGTAGTGTAGTCGATAGTGTATAGTGTAGTATATAGTAGTATAGTGGATAGTGTATAGTGTAGTATATAGTAGTGTCATGTATAGTAGTGTATAGTGTAGTATATAGTAATGTAGTGGATAGTGTATAATGTATATAGTAGTGTAGTAGATAGTGTATAGTGTAGTATATAGTAGTGTATAGTGTAGTATATAGTAGTGTAGTGGATAGTAGTGTATAGTGTAGTATATAGTAGTGTAGTGTATAGTATATAGTCGTGTATAGTGTATATAGTAGTGTAGTGGATAGTGTATAGTGTAGTATATAGTAGTGTAGTGAATAGTAGTGGATAGTGCAGTATATAGTAGTGTAGTGTATAGTAGTGTATAGTGTGGTATATAGTAGTGTATAGTGTAGTATATAGTAGTGTAGTGGATAGTGTATAGTGTAGTATATAGTAGTGTATAGTGTATAGTATAGTGTATAGTAGTGTATAGTGTAGTATATAGTAGTATAGTGGATAGTAGTGTATAGTGTAGTATATAGTAGTGTAGTGGATAGTAGTGTATAGTGTAGTATATAGTAGTGTACTGTATAGTGTCGTATATAGTAGTGTAGTGGATAGTAGTGTATAGTGAGTATATAGTAGTGTAGTGTATAGTGTAGTATATAGTAGTGTAGTGGATAGTAGTTTATAGTGTAGTATATAGTAGTGTATAGTGTAGTATATAGTAGTGTATAGTGTAGTATATAGTAGTGTAGTTTATAGTGTAGTATACAGTAGTGTAGTGGATAGTAGTGGATAGTAGTGTATAGTGTAGTATATAGTAGTGTAGTGTATAGTGTAGTATATCGTAGTGTAGTGGATAGTAGTGTATAGTGTAGTGTATAGTAGTGTAGTGTATAGTGTAGTATATCGTAGTGTAGTGGATAGTAGTGTATAGTGTAGTATATAGTAGTATGGTGGATAGTAGTGTATAGTGTAGTATATAGTAGTGCAGTGTATAGTGTAGTATATCGTATTGTAGTGGATAGTAGTGTATCGTGTAGTATATAGTAGTGTAGTGTATAGTGTAGTATATAGTAGTGTAGTGTACAGTGTAGTATATAGTAGTGTAGTAGTGTATAGTGTAGTATATAGTAGTGTAGTGTATAGTGTAGTATATAGTAGTATAGTGGATAGTAGTGTATAGTGTAGTGTATAGTGTAGTATATAGTAGTATAGTAGTGTATAGTGTAGTATATAGTAGTGTAGTGGATAGTGTATAGTGTATATAGTAGTGTAGTATATAGTAGTGTAGTGTATAGTGTAGTATATAGTAGTATAGTGGATAGTAGTGTATAGTGTAGGATTAAGTAGTGTAGTGTATAGTGTAGTATATAGTAGTATAGTATATAGTAGTGTATAGTGTAGTATATAGTAGTGTAGTGTATAGTAGTGTATAGTGTAGTATATAGTAGTGTAGTGGATAGTAGTGAATAGTGTAGTATATAGTAGTGTAGTGGATAGTGTATAGTGTAGTATATAGTAGTGTAGTGTATAGTGTAGTATATAGTAGTGTAGTGGATAGTAGTGTATAGTGGAGTATATAGTAGTGTATAGTGTAGTATATAGTAGTGTAGTGGATAGTGTATAGTTTAGTATATAGTGTAGTGTATAGTGTAGTATATAGTAGTGTAGTGGATAGTGTATAGTTTAGTATATAGTGTAGTGTATAGTGGATAGTAGTGTATAGTCGCATACCTGTCAACCCATAGGGGCCGTCAATAAATGACGTCACGCGAGTTTGGACGATTTTTAACCCCCCCCCCCCCCCCCTCTTCGTCACACGGCGTCACAAAAATTTAGACCCCCCTCAAATATGACGTCACAAAGCTCTGCCACCCCCCCCCAAAAAAAACATGCTTCAAATCTATTGTCAAATCTATTGTCACTATTGTCATTGTAGTGCGTATTTAATGTGCCGCTGCACTCTGATGTTGTAGGAGAAAACTTTTATTAAAAAGTCTATTTTATTAAGTAGAACGTGTTGTCTATATTCATTTAAAGTTGCGCATTTTGATGTGACGTCACATTTATCAACCCCCCCCCCCCCTTGTCACACATCGTCACAAATGTCTGACCCCCCCCCCCCAGGTGCGTGACGTCATTTATGGACGGCCCCTTACGGTGTACCCCGTATTCTGGTACAGGGAAATTTAGTTTTTAGGTCCATACGGCGTACAGCCGTTTCAATACGGGCAAAACAATTGTGTGTATGTGTTTGTGTTTCTCCCTTGCGATGGGACTTTGTAGGATGAACTTTGAGATTCATAAAGGTGACCGGGTGACTAGTGAGGTGCTGAATTGGTCTGTAATAAGTCATATTTTTTGTTACATTTTTTTAAAACACGCTTTTATTGAAATGTACCGTACTAGTAATGGAGGAACTCCACGACTCCAGGAAGTGGCCCCGAAGCTCCCCACAACGTAAGGGGACCGTGGTCAGTTACAGCCAACGTGAGTTGAGCGTGGACAATTAGACCCAAGCCGAAACATAACATGTAAAAAAAAATATTTTTTATTCTTAATAACATAAGTATATCAAGTTTGCAGTCGATACCACATTGGGAAGTGGGTCAAAATTGACTTACAAGATTTGAGGATACAACTACAACAGACTGGGATTCATATTCTTGGTTCTTTCGGTAAAGTCACGTAGGAGGGAAACAATAAAACAATAAAAATATAAAACAATAAAATTCTTACGACGTTTCGACTGCAACACAAGCAATCATCATCATTGAAAAAAGTGCCGGTTTTTCTATAAAAAAACGCCACTTTTTACAAATTTTCTTGTTGTGGTTTTCACACCTGATGATGATTGCTTGTGTTGCAGTCGAAACGTCGTGAGAACTTTATTGTTTTATATTTTAATTATTTTATTGTTTCCCTTCTACGTGACTTTACCGAAAGAACCAAGAATATGAATCCCTGCAGTCACGAAAGCTTCAAATCAAAACAGACAGTGAGTTAATAAAAAGCGTGTAATAATAATAAAAAGCATGTAATAATAATAAAAAGTGTAATAATAATAAAAGTGTGTAATAATAATAAAAAGTGTGTAATAATAATAAAATGTGTGTAATAATAATAAAAAGCATGTAATAATAAAAAAGTGTGTAATAATAATAAAAGTGTGTAATAATTATAATAAAAAGTGTGTAATAATAATAAAAAGCATGTAAAAATAATAATAAAAAGTGTGTAATAATAATAAAAGTGTGTAATAATTATAATAAAAAGTGTGTAATAATAATAATAATAAAAAGCATGTAATAATAATAATAAAAAGTGTGTAATAATAATAAAAAGTGTGTGATAATAATAATAATAATACAAACCGTGTAACGATAACAAGCTCGTACACTGATAAGGGGTTGACAGTTTTGGTGTTCAGGCGCGATTCGTCCACCAGGGGCGTTGGAGCACCGCCCCACCAAGCGACTGGAGACGAGAAATAATTTTTGTAATAAAAATACAATTCTATAAATAGTTTCGTTGTGTTTTTACATGTTTTTTTTAATGTAATGATTATTTCAACGTGAATTGCCTAACGAAGATAACATTTGAAGTTGTTCGTATTATAAACCGCTGCAACGCTTGATTCGTGCCTTGGCGAGGTGTAAAGGCGTCCTCCGAGTGAGAGATTTCCCTCCTGCATTCTTTGCGATGAGCTTCGAGCATCGTAGCCACGCCGTTTGAGGCCAGTTCAGTGCCGGTTGTATTGAGACACAACGCGAGGTTGCACCGTGCAAATATAGCAGGTCACGCGGCTTTTGGCAGTGTATTGAACATTTTTTTATTCTGCTACTGATACTCCCTGCTGTTGTGGAGTGACTCATGCAGC